GTTCACAACCACTCCTTCCCTCCATCCTACTTGGCGTATACTCGTTTTCCACACCCAACTGTACAGCAGCACCATCAGCTGGATCATCCCCTTCCCCCCAAACTTCATGAACTCGTTGACTATCCCATCCGCTCCTGCTGCTTTGTGGCACTTGAGCTTGTTCACACACGCCTCAACCTCGTCCTCAGTGAACTCCTTTTCTAGTTTTACGTTCCCAACGTCTGCCTTCGATGTCTCTTCTTCTTTCTGGGCCCATGCGTCCATCTCCTTCTTAAACACTTGTTCAAAAACCTCATTCTCCGAGGGCACTCCAAGTCTCTGGAGTGTCCTGCTAGAGTTTCCTTTTTCCCTTCCCACTGCTGACTAGTCCACCGTTCACACCTCGCAAAGTTGCGACCCCGGTATCCCCCCCTTGCGCGGTCTTTTTTACCATTCCACTAATCCCTTCCCACATCTGCTTGACGTTCCCCTCCAGGCCTCCGTTGGCCTTCTGCACGACTTCGTCCCAGATGGCACTTTTTCTTCTTTTCACTAGTCCCTTCACCTGTTTTCTTTTGACCCTGTGCTTTTCCCAACTCTCCTCAGAAGCCTCACTCAGGTACTGCTTGAAGACTTCCCTACGTTCCCCTATTTCTTCTTTCAGCTCGTCATCCCACCACTTAACCGATACCCCACATCGTACCACNCTTCACCTGTTTTCTCTTGGCCCTGTACTTTTCCCAACTCTCCTCAGAAGCCTCACTCAGGTACTGCTTGAAGACTTCCCTACGTTCCCCTATTTCTTCTTTCAGCTTGTCATCCCACCACTTAACCGATACCACACATCGTACCCCCTCCTTTCCCACTACTCTCTCTGCCGTTGCGTCCACTATGGACTCCCACCCTTCAATCACCCTGTCCCATGCTGCTTGTACGTCTACCTGTCCGTCTTCGATGCTTCTCAGCAGTTTCCTGAAGGGTTCTACGCTACCAGCCAGTCCCTTCTGGAACTCATCCCGTGTACCCTCGCCTCCCAAACGCTCTACTTTCCACCGGAACACTTTCCTCTGTGTCTTGCTCACCATTTTTCTAGATCGGTCGATGTTCGCCCATGTGAGGAAGTGGTCGGTCGAACCTATATCTATCGCACTCACGTGCAGCTCT